TGAACTCGACCGTCGCGGAACATTTTTCTCCAGGATTTCAAAAGGAAAGCAAATTGGCACTGGATGAAGTATACAATTTCAGGCGAGTCTCAAGGAACCTAATGTTCTTATTTAAACAATTACTTTGGGTTCAACTAGTTCTTCGAGTCCTTTTTTTCAGTTTGGTCTTGAATTGCCGTATGTGTGAAACTGCAAAAGCAGTTCTTACCATTCAGGACATACACTGATTACAGATCTTACTAAAAACTAGCAGCATTGCTAGACTTTCAGATTTTACACAGTGAGTTCATAGAAAGGTTATTTACGGCCGGCTGTGGTGGTTCATGCCTTTAATCCCCACATTTTGGGAGGCCGAGGCAGGAGAATCACTTGAGCTCAGGAGTTGGAAACCAGCCCGGGCAACATGGGGAAACTCTGTCCCTTAAAAATAAAAAATAAAAATCAAAAATTAAAAAACAAAGATATAAAGAAAGGTTATTTACTTTACTCATCTTCCAATATATGTGGGTTCAACATATACTGCATAAAATGTAAACTTTTCCACAACACGAAGTTTTTCAAAAACAACCTCTGTCACATGCATAAATTCAAAACATGTGATACAAGGCTTTTTCCCCGAAAGCACCAAGAGAGTCATGGTGCCTAAAGCCATCCTCTTAAAACTGTATTGAATTAATTGTTCTACAAATACAGTATCTATTGCTTCTGTTGTCACTTCGCAAATTCTGAGATCAATCCCAGGATCAAGTCACAAAAAGCAGGAATAACCAACAGTTATAGAGTTGCATATAGGCCGGGGTTTGGAGGGTATGGGGAAGAATGGGGAAAGACATAGCAGAGAACTTGTCAGTTCCAAATCACTGATTTCTTTTTCTGCTCTGCTATGCCCAGACTTGGAGACAAGGACATACCCAGCCAGCAGACCAGGAGTATTTATCTATTTATTATTTTATTTTATTTTATTTTATTTTATTTTATTTTATTTTTTGAGATGGAGTCTCGCTCTGTCACCCAGGCTGGAGTGCAGCGGCGCGATCTCGGCTCACTGCAAGCTCCGCCTCCCGGGTTCACGCCTTTCTCCTGCCTCAGCCTCCCGAGTAGCTGGGACTCCAGGCGCCCGTCACCGCGCCCGGCTAATTTTTTATATTTTTAGTAGAGACGGGGTTTCACCGTGTTAGCCAGGATGGTCTCGATCTCCTGACCTCGTGATCCGCCCGCCTCAGCCCCCCAAAGTGCTGGGATTCCAGGCATGAGCCACCGCGCCCGGCCCAGACCAGGAGTATTAACCTTCACCTTCTGGTTGAAGGCCTTTTTTCTTTTCTTCTTCTTTTTTTTTTTTGGTATTTCATCAAATTCAACTGTGGCTTGACTGATATCTAAGTGCATTTACCTCTGAAATGATTCACAATAGTAAATGATATCAGCTTTTAATTTTATAAGACAAAAAATAGTTTTTAATAATTCTAAACTAGCTATGTTTGAGAAGACAATAGATCACGATTTTATGAAGAGCAAATTCCTAAAAATATATGCAAGATTATTACTGGCCCATAGTATTTGGAGAAACGAAATGCACCCACTCTTTGGCTGGATTTAGTCAGACAAGTAGAATAGGTAGCATAACAGGTCTAATTCCTACCCCATCTGGAATATCCATCCTTCTGGAGTTTTCCTGGACACTCATGGAGGCCAGCGGCAGAGCCCACAGGCAGGGCCACTAGGGTGGCATTTTTTCTACATGAGGCACAAATCGTGGTCTTCCCTCACCACAGCACAGCATGTACCCCAATAAGATCATTCAACATGAAAGTATTTCAGGCCGGGCGCGGTGGCTCAAGTCTGTAATCCCAGCACTTTGGGAGGCCGAG